GAGGAGGGGCGGAGGGCGCAGGGAGGGAGGGCTCATTAGGGCGCAGGGCTTTCCAGGGAGGAGGGCACGAGGGCGCAGGGAGGAGGTGTCAGGGCCCGCCGAAGGAGGAGGAGCAGAGGGTGCCAGGGAGGAGGGGCAGAGCGGCACAGGGAGGAGGCGCGCAAGGGCACCAGGAGGAAGGGCCCTCAGGGGCTCAGGGGAGGAGGGCTCCGGACTCCCAGGGGAAAGGAGCGGCGGCAGGGGGGGAGGGCGCGCTGGCCTGTCACTCACCCCCCTGGCCCGCCACCGCCGCCTGCCCGCGAGTACAGCTGGGCCCTGACTCAGCTCCGACGGTGTCCCAGGCAGGCGACTGCCGGGCTATTCCCAGGTTTTTGGACCAGGCTGGCGGCCCCAAGGCAGGCAGAGCCGCAGCCAGGCCAGCCGGCGGAGCCGGCACCGCCCCTTTCCCAGGGCCCGACCCTAGGTGGCAGCGGCCCCAGAGATGGTGACCACGTCAACACGCCTGGCCCAAAGCGCAGGACGGAGAAGTGCCGGCAGCCCCCGGTGGCGCCCCGGCTGAGTCCTGGTCCCTCCCGCGGCCAGCACAGGTGGGTGGGGCCGTCTGTTTCGAGAGAGTCCTCCAGCCAGACACGGGCATGGAGAGAGAAGCAGGCTGGGCGGGCGGGGCTGAGCCGCAGGCCTCGCTGCCCCAGACTCGGTTGCATCAGCAGACCGCGCAGGGCTGGTGGGCGCCATGCGCCCCCGACGTGGCCCCAGAATGAGGGGGCTCAACTCTGAGCCCTGCTGCGCCCCAGACCCCCTCCCCACCCGCATCCCAGAGAAGCCACCGTGAGGCAGACAGACAGACAGACAGGCACCAGCCCCTGGCACAGGAGGCCTCTCGGACCCCAGAACCTTCCAGGTGGAGGAAGGGTTGTCAGAGCGGGGCTGGGAGCGCTGAGGAGTGTCCTGCTCCCTCCCCCAGGGTCAGCGTCAGGGTCAGGGTTAAGCTTAGGGTCAGGGTGAGCTGCAGGGGAGAGGTGGGCCTGGCTCCTCTGCCCCTCCCAGGACCGCGCAGCCCCCCCCAGCCATGGAACCACACGGGCTGTCTGCAGCGCCCCACCTGAGCAGGGCAGGGAGGGGCCCCAGGGCCTGGCCTGACCCCGGTGACGCCCGCTAAGGAAAAGCAGGAGGAAGAGAAGCTGCCTCTGTCCTCTCTGCAAACAAAGGACCAGGTCTCAGAGGCGGAGCCGGGACGCAGGCTGGGCGGGGAGACAGGCAGCAGGAGCAGCAACGGCTTCCTAGGCGGCAGCGGCTACGGCTACGCTCTGGCCCCCTGACCTGACTCCCGCCTCTCTGGGTGGACGTGGCAAACCCACGCAGGACCACGCGACACACACACGCGGTCCAGGGTTCCGGACCCCAGACGTGGCGTGCGTGGACTCAGCTGCCTGGGTCGCGCCTGTCGGCACCACGGAGAACGGTTTTCTTACCTTCCGCCCCAGCAGGGCAGGGCCCGGCCCACCTGCCTCCGGGCCTGGGCAGGGAAGACCACGTGGGCCCAAATGCTTCAGGCTCGGGGAACTGTCTTGTGCGAGTCTATCTCTATCTGTGCTCGGCGTCCCGCGGACAGCACCCTCCGTACCCAGCACACCAGACAAGCACTCGGTGAATTAAGTAGTCGCTGAACTCATGAATAAATCAATAAACAAAAGCAGCTAAGTTCACTGAGTGGCCGGGTCTGCTCCTGCCAGCCGGCCATCAGGCCACGCAACTCTGGGGGGCGCGGACTGTGGACCCCACAGCCGACTGCAGGGGCCCCTTCCCGCCCAGGCCCCTCCTCGCCTCCCCTGAGCGGCCCCCAGAGACGCCCCTCCTGGGCCCAGCAGCCTGGCCCCAGAGACAGCCCGGCACAGACGGTAGAAATAGAGGCCTCTGCTCACAGGAAGCCACAGAGGCAACCCCAGGGGCACAGGGACACTTCTTCTGTCTTCCCCGAGTGGAACGAGCTCCCCCAGCCGTCCCCACGCAGCCCGCAGCCCGAGAGACTCCCGCAGAGCCAGGTCGGGCCCTGGTCACGCTCCCCAGGCTCTAATTATCTCTGACAAATTATTTCAAACACCCTGGAGGGGGCATTAAAATGCCACCAACGACTGCACTTTTCGGCCGGGGGAGACCGTCCTGCAGTGAACCAGGAGCCACAGAGCAGGTGGAGGGGGGCGTCGGCCGCTCTCGGGGGCAGGGAGCCCCGCAGTTTTCTAGGAACTGAATTCATCGAGTCCTCGGAGCGTGTTGTTTGGGCCGGGCGCGGAGGCTCAAGCCTGCGGTCCCAGCATGCAGGGAGGCCGAGGCTCATGGGGAGCTGTCACGTGATCGTGACACCACAGCCCAGCCGGGGCAACACAGCAAGACCCTGTCTCTCTTTTTTTTTTTGAGACAGAGTCTCGCTTTGTTGCCCAGACTAGAGTGAGTGCTGTGGCGTCAGCCTAGCTCACAGCAACCTCAAACTCCTGGGCTCAAGCAATCCTCTTGCCTCAGCCTCCC